TTCTTGCCAAGTTTTCTGTTATTTAGTAAAGAGAAATACTTTGGATAATTCTAAATAAGCTACAACCAGAAAAGTTTAGTTTGATTTAACTTCAGACGGTGAAAGACACTGTGTCTTTTTATTCAGAGTATGGAAATATCTGGTTTCAACAGCAAGTGTGAGTTTTCACTTGCATCACCACTTCTCTATTTGCTCCTGGTGTTTGTAGGGATTTTACACAGGAGGCACATAGTCCCCATAGTTGGCCATAGTTTGGGCCGTGTCTCGATAAAAAAAAAAAATCCAACCCAGAAATGTGAAGAAAACATGCAGCTGTGCAGGTCAGAACCTGTAATTACAGAAACAACAACAACTACGCTTCTCCTCTGAGAATAAAGTCAAACATCTCTAAAATAACTCAGTTATTTTATTTAGACAAGTTTAGAATCTTCTGAACCAAAATCTGATGAAAATATTTGAGTTTTACTCAAAGTAAACAGCATTAGTCTCTTTACAGACATCTGTAATTAAAATGTCTGACAAACACTGCCCCCTGCAGGCTTTTAAACATATTACAATTTTCATTACAAATACAGAAACTGGATTAAAATCATTAAAAATCAGATGTTGGGACGACACTAAAATGTACAACAGAGTATTAGGCTGAGAATTTGTTTAGCTTTATTATGAAAGTAAAGATGCAATATTACCAGAAGAAAAGGGTTAAAATTATGAGAAAAAAAGTCGTTTCAATGAGTAAAAAGCTTTGATAGTTATGAATATCAGACATGATCAGTTCGGCAATTCAGTGATTCTTTCTGCGACTCAGTTGTTTGGATGATCATTTCAAAGTGATAATAACTTGATGCTGATGTGATAAAAGATTAAATAATTCCTTATTTGTAACTGGATGCTCAACATTCCTCATTTTAACTCAGTGGTCCTGCAGGAGTTCTTATAAAATCACTACTTTATTCTCCTAATATTACAACTTTATTGTCAAATTACTATAACTTTATTCTATTAATTTAAAAACAAATATTTACTTAGCATGGCCCTGATAATCCATTGTAGAAAAGCTTTAATTCCAACACATCGCTGGCCTTTCATTTGTTTAATCTGAACGAACGAACGAACGAACGTCCATCCATCCATCCATCCATCCATCCATCCATCCATCCATCCATCCATCCATCCATCCATCCATCCATCCATCGTTACCTGGCTCCGTAGACGTAGAAGCAGTAGATGTGAAAGGTGAACAGCGCCACCATGTCAGACAGCAGTGAGAGGGCAAAGGTCAGGCCGAGGCAGGCGGACAGGCCTCCGTACCAGAGGATTCCCTGGATGAACGGCGCCATCAGGTGGATGTAGCCTGCAGGGCGACATGCAGAGATGAGCCTCATGTTGGTGAACGCTGTTGGTTCTGGTCGGTTCTGGTCCGAGACTCACTGATCCACAGGTGGATGTGGTAGAGGAAGAACCGGCCCAGAACCTGGTCCAGGGCCCGGTTCATCTTCAGGCCGGCCGGAGCTCCCATCAGCCACTGCAGCAGCTCCTCCAGCTGCTGTGCCACGCTCTGTGGAGACAGAGCAGGGCATGCTGGGAAATTACCGGCTATGAGTCACAGGAAGGAACATTTACAGTTAATGACTTGAATGCAAAAACAAAACAAAAAAAACAAAAAACTGAATACCATAAAAAAAAAATCTTAAATGTCTCATCATAATTTTTGTTTTTCAATCATTTTTAAAAATGTATTTAAATGTAATTTCTGATTGGCTACCAGTCAAATTCATGAAGTTATTTTGCTGCTCAAGCAAGAAAAAGCCCAAAGGAACCAACACTGCTGCAAAAAGCTGTAAGAACAGAGGCAATGCAATGAAATTTAATGTGATTAATATAAAACATTACACATTTTCTTACAATCAAAACAGTGGATCGTGTTGAAAAGTTGCATTATCTGGTAATAAAATAATTACATGTTATCTGCCACAGAACTAATGGGCGTCTAAAATCAGACAGTAGGAGGCAATAAATAATTACTGAATAAATAATTACTGAATAGTGAATAAAAAACATTCTAAAATTTGATGTTTATTTACGTGCTTCGTAGCATTGTCTGTGGGATTGATAAGGAGGTCAGAGGTCAACGTTGTTTGGAAAAGTTTGGGAACTCCTGGTCTAAACTCACTGACTCTTTGGTTGGTTGGATGTTCAGACATCCAACCCAGACCCACCATTCTATATCTACAGTATATCTCTATATAATCTCTATATAATCTCTATATAATCTCTATATAATCCCATATCTGCTGTGACTCACGTCGGCGGCCGGCACCATGTTGCTGGCCAGCATGGCGATGTGTTGGTCTCTGTAGAGCCACAACATGAGCAGGACGCCCAGCGAGACGTCCAGCAGGACGGACACCAGGACGTTGGCCTTCCTGCAAGACAGACAGGGGGACAGGTGAGAGGGACGGACCCTGTCTGACCCGGCCCAGCGTCCCTCTGGGACAGAACCTCCTCCCACCTCATGAAGTCCATGTGGGCGTCGGCCTGCGGGGCGCCCAGCGTCTGCAGCCGCTCGGTTCTGTAGCTCAGCTGGACGCAGGTGGACAGCTTGGAGGACAGGAAGCGCAGCGGGAAGACGCTGAGGATCCTGGGAGAAACGGCAGGAGGTCAGAGGGAGGCAGCAGGACCAGAACCGGAACCGGACCGGGTTCAGGCTGGAACTATGACTCACTCAGGCTGAAATCGGTTCAGACATTAAAACGTTTGCAGGGGATTTTCTCCATAAAACGACTCGATTTGGACGAGAATAAAACCTGATTAACAACATGCAAGTAAAAACTTATGGTTTTATAAAAAAATCTAATTTAATCTGCAAATCATAACAAGAGAAAATATGTTTCTAATATTCAATGAGATTATTCACAAATTTTATCTTTTACTAACAACTGGAGAAAAAACAACTAAATTAATAAAATTATTCATATTTTATTATATTATTAAGCATCTGTAGCAACAAAGACACATTCTGTGGAAAAGTGTGGCAGCCATGTTTCAGCCAGCTGACTGGCAGTGTGCAGGAACAGGTGGGGGAGGGGTCTCTGACTTCTTTCCCAGCTTCTCATTTAAAGGCCATCAAGGAGAAACCAGGAGGAAAATTTGACCCATTTTTAATTTTTCAGAACCTTTTTGTACAGTGAAGCCAGGAATCAGTTTAGTCTGTTTTTCCCGTCTGAGACGATTTGCAGGTTTTCTTCAAAACTAATAATCATTTTTATTTACTGTTGTGTTTATTTATTTTAACTGTAACTAATAAAACTTTGAAGAAAGACATAGCTCTTCTCAGTTCAGAGTGTATTTCTCAGCGGTTCTCCCTGATATTTAAAGATTGCGCTCCGGCCCGGTTCTCCTCACCGGGCGCTGCAGATCCAGGTCCAGACGGAGAGCATCCGGCCCAGCAGGAGGCCCAGCGGAACCGAGGCCTGCTTCAACAGCTCCACCACGATGCTGGCCTCCCGGCCCTCAGACTGCCAGTGGGTCGACCGCAGCGGCCCGTCATCGTACCGGTCCAGGACGAAGAGCGGCTGGCTGCGAGCCACCGTCCCAAACACCTGAGAAGGAAGAGGAGGAGGAGGAGGAAGAGGAGGAGGATGCAGGGGAGGAGGAAAAGGAGAAGTAGAAAGAGAAGAAGGAGGAGGAGGATAGGGAAGAGGAGGAAGAGAAACGAAGAACAGCCGTTGTTATAGCAACGGCTACTGGACGTCCAAATAAACCATCAACCAAACAAGCTGGATAATGACTCTAAACAAGCAGCCAGAAATATTATGGGATGGTTGAGATCAGAACTGATTCATGTGTTAGAATGGCCTAGTCAAAGTCCAGACCTAGATCCACTTTATACACAGTGGCTGCAGACCTCTGCTCCAGATGATCAAAGCTGGAAGAGGCTAAAGGCCACAAAAACACGCCACACTTTTCAGAAAGAACAGAACCCTTCAGAACCTTCAGAACCCGGATCGTCTCTGGTCCTCTGGTACCTGTCTGAGCTCAGAGTGAGGTTCTGATCCGTCCCCAGACTCCTGGGCCTCCACAGGATGAAGCTGCGACAGCATCACCTTCCTCTGCTCGTAGTGGACGAAGATCACCTTCTCCTCATCCTCCTGCTCTGCGTCGCCGTCGTCCTCTTCGCTCTTCTTCTTCTCTGCTTTTTCTCCTGAATCCTTCCTGCAAACTGGAGGAGAGAAAATTTTCCAGTTTTCATCGCCAAGAAGGAAATTTATGAATATGAGATGATTTTAGTTTGACTGAAATAATAAAATAAAATATTTATTAAATAATCAAATAAAAATCAAGCTAACAGTTCTGATTGATGAGCATTATTTCTGCTGCTGCTCCAACTCATTATGAAGGTTTTATTCTGTTTTATTATTATTATTAAATTTTTTTTTTATCTGTTTGTTGTTAAAATGTTTGAAATATAGATTTCCAGATTATCCAGAGATAAGGACTGCACAGTGGCACAGCTAGTAGAGCTGTTGCCTTGCAGCAAGAAGGTTCTGGGTTCAATTCCTGGTCTTTTTGCACAGAGTTTGCATGTTTTCTCCAGGTACTCCGGCTTCCTCCAATCCAAAAACATGACTGTCGGGTTAATTGGTCTCTCCAAATTCTCCCTAGGTGTGAGTGCATGGTTGTGTGTCTCTGTGTTGCCCTGCGACAGACTGGCAACCTATCCAGGGTGACCCCGCCTCTCGCCCAGAACCTTAGCTAGAGATAGGCACCAGCACCCCTCCCGACCCCACTAAGGGAAAATGGATGGATCCAAAGATTATCCAGATTTTTCCAGACTCAAAAATCCAGTTTTCAGGAATCTTTGAGGAAGGAAACAACATTAATTTTAATAAATGAAGGCTGTTTGTAAACTGTCTCTGACTGCTGCTCTTGTCCTGAACTCCAGCAGGGGGCGCTCACTCTGGTCCTGGCTGAGCACCTCGCAGCTGAAGCCAGTCTTTCCGAACTGCCTTCTGATCTGGAGCCAGCGCTCCTGGGGGAAGATGGTGCTCAGGTCCCTGAGGAAGCTCTCCATGCCCTCCTGCCCATCTTTAGGGAGACTCCAGGAGCCGAGAACCGACAGATCAACGCCACTCTGAGCCTGCATCTGGGACGACAGCATAGAGGGAAGAAGTCCAATTAGTTACTGCGGTTTATTTAACGGGACCCTGATTCACCCAAACAAGTCCTAAAGCTGCAGAATGTAAATTAAAAATCTATATTTTTTACGTATTTGTTTAAACTGTCACCATGCTGAGACAGTTTAATATGAAACCGATCCACTTTCTTCCAGTGATTAGAAACAACCAATCAGAACAAGGAGGCGGGTCTTTGCGCTGTCAATCACTCAGATTATATCACTTATAACAGGACATTTTTCCCTTTTTCACTTTATCTGCCAATGGAATAAGTACTTTTTATTATTATTAATGAACAAACAAGCCTCTATATCTTCCAGAAACATTACTTTTAAGTTATTTTGACTTGTTTCAATTTGCACTAGAAACTAAACCAAAAATACTTGGTAACATTTTGTGTATTGCAGTGTAGCTGAGGGAGAAGGTGGAGGAGATTCGATCTTTTCACAGATTATCTGTCTCATAGCAAACTGTCACAGTTTTAGCTAATATGTTAAAAACATATATTTTTTATAAAAGTTACATACTGCAGATTTGGTTCGTTATCAATCATATTTCCAACATTAAAGTCTCAACTGATCGTAAACACACCCAGACAGCACAAAGAAAGAGTAATGAATTTATGTCTGTAACGTCTATTTTTTCATTCACCACAGGACAGTATTTAGTGTCGCACCGACCTGCTGGATGTACTGCTTGACCTGAGCCGGGATGAACGGGTAGTGGATGACTGCCAGCACCACGGCCGAGTCATGGCCGGAGATCCAGCGGCCCACCAGCAGCCCGCTCTCCGCCCGGTTGCAGCACTGTGGGAAGAAGATCTTCAGCACCATGACGTTCACAGCTCTGATGATAAACAGAAGAAATATTCAATTAGTTCAATGTTAACAAGTTAAAAACGTTGGATCAAACTTTACACTGGAATGACGGAGGAGGAGAAAAAGGAGGAAGATACATTTCATATATAATTAATGATTTTTAAGTGAATAGTTTTAGAAATAAATACCTAATATTTATAAGTCTGTTTGCAATAAAGATGTATGTTTCACTTCTTGAAGTAAATAACTGTAATAAATTGATTACATTTCGATTTAATGAGATTAACAGGTTTTTGTCTTTATTTTTGTAAAAAAAAAAAATAGAAAAAAAAATAAAAAACTAAACTGAAAACAGGACAATTCATCCTTCTTCCACTGGGTTTAAAAGGTTAAATCTAATCCAAATCAATTAGTAATCTTCATTAGTAGCAAAATTAATAGCAAAAACGAACAGTAGGAAATGTAGTATGTGCTAGGCAGCCATAAAAACGTCAAAACAACTGCAGACATCTAAATCCTTTAAGGAGACATTGTTGATGAATTGAAACCAAATGGAAAGGAGATTCAGATGAATGTAATGACGAATCGCCGAATCAAAGCCTGAAATATTCATTCATTTAAGGTAAACTGTGTCTATTGACAGATAAGCGCAATCCGAGGAAAGCCTCCAAATCGGACAGTATTTAAGTGGAGTTTGGTGAGAACGCTGGCCTCCTTTCGCCCTTCACTCGCCCCGTTGTGGTTGTCATGGCAACACGGGGAGCCCTGGGCTGGAACCTCATTGATTTCTGCGGCAGTGATCTCGATTTCACAATCCAAGAGGAGGAAGTAGGTCAACTGTAGAGCTAGCTGATAAAATACGAAGCTGTCACCCGAGAAATATTTATTAGCAGAAGTGATTAAAATGAATAAGTAATGTTGGTATATTAGGTTCTTCCTGTCAAACTCCTGCTGACAGCTCATCGACTTAAAACGCTTAAATCTACGCTAAATTAAAACGCAGAAGCTCCATTAAACAAACAAACTGTTGAGCTGATGGGGAGCATGATGGAAAACGAGATGCGAGTGTGATAGACTTTAATTTTACCTTCCTTAACACAATTAAACGGTGTCTCCTTCCGAGTCCGGTTCTTCTACTTCAACAACGTCGCCATTTTATTTGTTTATAGTCCGTCACTTAAAGTGTCCGAACAGAAACAGGCGTGTTTGTTCTGTTCCCTTCTACAAAGTTTGGTGAAAAACCATAAAAATACATGGAGAGAATTTTGTTGACTGAAAAATAAATTTTAATATATGTTTAAAATGACTTACGGCAACAGACAGAATCATAATCTGTCTGAAAAATCTGATATTTTAAAGTATAATGAATAAAACTTTTCTATAAATAAATTACATAATTACAGCATGATAAATTCAGGCAAAATTATTCTCCACGTCATTTTTTTCAATACAAAACCGACGAAACTAATACTTAAACTCGGTAATATGTATATTTGTTAGAACTGAGTGAAATACTTACAGGATAATATTTATTCTTTTGTCATTATGTATTTTATTCCTGAGTTCTTGGTTGAATTTTAATAATCATTTTTTATCAAAGACATAGATATCGACTAGACTCAGTTTTTAATTATTTATTGATTGCATTTATTTAATTATTTTTTTGACTTTTCAATATTGCTACTTATTTTGTTCTTTTAATATTAATTTTTTTTTACCATTTTAGTATTTTTTTTAATTAAAGTTACTTTTGCTGTCATTTAATTTTATTGGTTAACCTATTTAATATTTTTTAACAAAATTGTGGCCCATTTCTTGACATGTATTTTTTATTCCTTCATTTACATCTGATTATTTTACAATTTGCTTAATATAATTGATATATTGTAGTTACTATTAACTACATAATAAATTATTTTAATAATTTTACTGATTTTTTAATGATTAGTAATTGTATTATTTGGTTTACATCAGGCTAGTTCTATAATTGTGTATAATTGTGTGTCTTTGTAACAACTTTAAAACTATGGACAGACTGCAAACTGCAATGTTATACAAAATAATAATTTTATTATTGCAATGAATAAATTCCAGCTGATTTGTTACTATATGTTGATGCACATAGTGTCAACAGCCTTGTCTGTTTTTGTAATACATTTTAAAGCAGTTGCATTTGACATTACAGAATTATTATCTAATATTTCATTTTATATTAAATGTAAACTTTTTTTTTAAGTTTATGTAAGAATAAATAGAAAGTTTGATCTGTTTTTTACTCACCAGGTCAGGCTGCTGCTGTTAACATCCAAACTGTAAAGAGTTTTATCTGCTCCCGCAGTGACACCGCAAAAAAAGAGCGGGAAGGAAACTTTCAGCTGATAAAGAAGATCTAAAAGCTCCGTTTCATGCAGGATTGTAATTTCACTATTTTATTTTAAATGTGTTTGATTTAAATGTCAACATTTAATTTTAAAAACAACTAAAACATTTTAATAACAACTTTTACCTATTATAAACATAATTAGTAAATCATTTTGATGTAAAAATATTATTAATTGCATTCAAACTACATTACCCAGGAGCAGTAGTAAACCTCGCATTGAACTATGGGTAAGCAGGAAGTAAACAAACACACGTGGAAGATGGCGCTTTCAGAGCAGAAAGAGAGGAAACCTGAGGATATTTTACGGGATTTTCGGGCCTCGTTTTTCTCCATGAACCGCTTGGCTTCGTTTCCCTGGACGGTGAGTTTGAGGCGCCGCCAAACTCCGTTGAAAATCTGCCTGATTCTGCTGCGAGGCTTTAATTTAAAACACCCACTGAGATCAGCTGCTGGGCAATAATCACACATAAAATGTTTCAGTTTCTGAAAGCTCCGGCTGCGAAAACACTCAGCAGTGGATTTATATTGCACAACTTTCTTTATATCCCTACATAGCATTTCAATCAGATAGAGGTCTGGAGTTTGACTAGGCCATTACAACAGTTTGTGTCTCTTCTGTTGCATTCTAGCTTCTGTGTTTTGGATCATTTCTGATTTAGTATGGCTCCAAACGTTATGCATCTTTGCAAACCAAAGTCATGCACCCGTTTTGTTTTTTAAAGGATGAATCTTTCCGTCTTTGATTTTAACAGTTTCTAGACAATGAGCTGCAGAGCAACAAGTCATCAGAGTTCATCTCAGAGCTACTGAAGCAGGTGGGATGATCCTCACAGAACTTTACTTTCTGTTTAATCTGAATTAAATCTAAAATAATCCAGTGTTTTTGTTTTTTACAGACATGTCTTCATCCTCTGTGTGGAAAGTTTCCACCATCGGTCCGATTCAGGAGGATTTTCCTCTCTGAGCTCATCAAACGGGTCAGTTTCATTAAGTTCACAACAGAAATTATTTTCTTTCCCACTAATTTCTGATTTCCAGTGATTCCTACTAATAGGCTGTTGTGTGTCTGTGCAGCAGGAGGCTGCAGGCTGCGACCCTCTGGATGAGCTGTATGACGCCCTGGCGGAGGTGGTGGGGGTGGAGGAGACGCCGCACTGCCACAAGAGCTACTTCCTGGTACTGATCGCCTCCGTCACTGGAGCGGAGAACCAGGATTTATTAAGCAGAAGCAAACTAACAGCTTCAGTCCATCCACTGCAATAAGCAGCACAATTTAATAAATATACAAATAATTTTTTTAGTCATAATTTAAATTGAATTTGAATTAAATTAATTAAATATTTGTTTAATAATTTATGTAATAATTCATAATCATTTGAGGAAATGTACAAGTTGTGTAATTAAATTATAACATTTGGACTTTTTAATTTAATAAATACCTGAGCTTGCAGTTTAAATGAATTTAAATTTAGTCATTTAAACTATAACTAAATGTATTTAGTCGTGTTCAGAGTTTGGATGTGATTTTTGTGCCGCAGCCCAGCGGAGACGCCATCAGCCTTCTGGAAAACGTGGCTGTGATCTCTGAGGGAACGACGGGCCTGGTGACCTGGGAAGCTGCTCTCTACCTGGCAGAGTGGGCTCTGGAGAACCCACAGGTGTTCACCGGCAGGTGTGACGTCACCTGAACCTGAGCCGCAGCAGAGCCGTGTGAAGCTGCACAGCAAAAAATTAACAGCAATAATGAACACTTGATGCTTATGCATTTATAAATGTCAGGGTGTCAAACTAAATACTTAGCTACAAAATGAAATATTTAAATATATAACTAAATTAAATAGACAGTTTACATTTTTAGTTCTAAACTAACCATTGCACTAAAGATTTTTTAGCTTAAGCTAAATATTTACTTCATAAGCTCAATATTTAGCTTAGAAAATATTAAGTTTGCAAACTTTATATTTAGATTGAAATTAAGCATATAACTAATTCCAAATCAAATAGTTATTTTAAATGTTTAGTTCCAAAGTAAATATTTATTTTAACTAAACATGTACTTGTCAAACTAAATATTTAGTTGAGTAGCTGTTTGAACTAAACTTTGCAAACTTAATATTTAATTTGCAAACTGTTTAACTATACATATAGTTCCAAATTAAGTACTTATTTTCCAAGCTAAATATTTAGCTTTTGTGTTTTTTACTGTGGGACTGTGACTTTTATAACTGAGTGAACAACATGGTGAAAATTAACTCCCAGTTTTTTCTCTGACTGGCTAAACAAACCAAAATGTTACTGTTATTGTTTTTACTGTGTAACGTTGGAAACGGTTCCCGTTAGAACTCTGGGTTCTAACAGGCTCTCTCGTTCAGGTCGGTTCTGGAGCTGGGAAGCGGCGTCGGATTGACCGGAATCACCGTGTGCCGCTCCTGCAGTCCGGTCCGGTTCGTCTTCAGCGACTGTCACGCCGCGGTTCTGGAGAAACTCAGAGAAAACGTCCGTCTGAACGGCCTCGACTGCGGGAAGAGTCCATCTGTCACGGTGGACCAGCTGGACTGGACCACGGCGCCGGAGGAGCAGATCCGCCGGATCCGACCCGACACGGTGATCGCTGCAGGTTCGGTCCGGCTCGAGGGCTGTTATTATATTTAAGTGCTTAACAAGTCTTCTGTTGCTCTTGGTTATAACAGTAAGCTAAAAAAAAAAAACTTAAGTGAAAGTCCGGTCCCAGATAAGTAAGCTAATGATATCAAAAAGAAAGGAATCAGGTCCAATCAGGTGTGGTCCTTTGTGTGGCCACGCCCCTCGGTGACTCTCCTCCCGTCTCCTGCAGACGTGGTGTACGATCCGGAAGTCGCAGGAAGTCTGGCGGATCTGCTGCTGAAGATCCTGAAATGTTCAGCGGTAGCGGAGATCCTGATCTGCTCCACCATCAGAAACCTGGAGACGTACGGCGGCTTCAAGCTGCGGCTCGGTGAGGATCAAGACGCTTCAGAGCCGGAACCGAGTTCCAGTCCCGGTCCGGTTCCACAGAACTGGGTAGAGGACCCAAAAACTGTACTCGAGTAAGAAGAGTAGCGCTACTTAACATATTTCTACTCAAGTTAAAGTAAAAAGTAGACGTCCAAGAAGTTACTCAATGAGTAAAGTATTCGGTAAAAAGGCAACTTGATCGAAAAATCAGATTCAATATTTTACAATGTCTTCAGATTACAACAAAGTATCAGAACCAGAATAAAAAATATGAGAAAAGTCGTAATTCGAGTAATGATATAAAAATAAAGCCGTAATAATATGAGCATAAAGTCATCACGAGAATAGAGTCATAGCAGATTACAGACTTTGTTGTTATAATCTGACTTAATTCTTGTATTATTTGGACTTTATTCCCATAATGACTGTTATTCTGGTAACATGACTTCTCATTATTACAACTTTATTCTTGTAACGTCATTTTAAAAACATTTTTAGCAAGGCCCTAATTTTTACTAAAAATTAGGCATAAATTCTGGTATTAATACAAATAATTACAAAATAAAGAATTAAATCAGGATCAGCACTTTTCTGTTTCCATTTTTATCAATATAAAACTTATAAAACTAGCACTTACAGTCTACACAGTTTGTTAAAACTAAAGTACTTCCAATGACAATATAAGAAATTTAAAAAATAAGGTGCAGTAAAATTACTCCTAAAAGTTTTATTTTCTAAAAAGTTACTCTAAATGTAACTAGTTACATCCTGCGGCTCCTCCCTGCAGAGGCTGCAGGTCTGGGCCACCAGGTTCTGACCGGACCCGTCAGCGCCGTGTTTCCCTACGACCGGCTGGCTCCAATAGAACTCATCACAGTGTTCAGGTGAGCCGACGCTGCAGGATCAATGTTTTATTTACAAATCACATAAATCAGGATTAAAGCAGTTTTTCCTGTTTCTGTCAGAGTCCAGGAAGGATGAAAGCTCCTCTTCATCTGGGAGCCACCAGCAGAGGCAGAACATTCTGGTCCCAGTTATCATCCCAGCGCTGCCCCCTGCTGGCGCGGAGGTTCCTCCGGAAAACTCCCAGTCTGCCGTCTGAACTGGGAAACTCTGAGAGGAGAGACTGGAAACCAGCAAGGAGAAGAAGAAGACAGACTGAGTCACTTCCTGGGACCCGAGTGGAGATTCCCCCAAAACGTCTTCAAATCTAACACAGTCAAACGTTTGTGCTGCAAAAAGGTTTTGTGCTGGTATCACTTTAAATATATTAATAAAAAAAGTTTCCACAGGTCAGAGGTAAACCCAAATTTACAAAATCAGATAAATTTGGTGTCAATAACCCAGAGGTGGGCAGAGAAACCAAACATTTACTAAAATGAGACTAAATATTACTTCAACATATTTTACTCAAGTAAAAGTAAAAAGTAACCATCCAAGAAATCACTTCAGAATAAAAGTATTTGGTAAAAACGTCTACTCAGGTCCTGATCAAATTATAATTTAAAAATTACATGGACCAAAATAAAATATTTCTGTATTTTAAGGACAAAAATCAGAAGAATTCATATAATTAGCAAAAATTAACAAAATTAGGCAAAAATAAAATTTTCTTATTCAGTTTCCTTCAATGAAAAACTTCAGTAAAAACTGCAGGTGTGTGTCTGAGTCTGGTGAGTTTTTGGTTAAAACATGTTTGTTTTTTCATTCAGTGGGAAGAAAATCCAGAAATTTGACTCGAGAGTAAAAAGTACAGCGTGTTAAAGTACTACTAAAAGTACATTTTTCCCCAAAAAGTACTCAAATGTAATTGAGTAAATGTAACTAGTTACTACCCGCCTCTGCAATCAGCTACACTTTGCAGCATAACATTTTGCTTGTGCTGCTTTTGCTTTGAAGATATTGATGACCTCTGACCTTTGAAAAGTTCCTATTTTTAAATGATAGCGGCACAAACAATGTTTACTGCACAAACCTTTGACACCAATTCTTTTAGACGCAAAGAAGGAGCCGACTTCGCTCAAACGGACGACTAATGACTGAAAACCTTCTCTGGATGCTGAAACTGGATTCCAAGCAATCGTCTGCTTCATTAATGTTGCAGAAACATTGATAGAGCTGCATGTTTTGGGTTTGCATCAGTAAAGTTGTGAACGCAGCTGCGTTTGGTCCTGCAGGTCGAGCTTCAGCGGATCGTCTCACCTTGAGCTGCTGGGCGAGTTCTGCAGAGTCCCTGAAGATCAAACCGTTCACTTCGTGCTCCACCAGCTCCTGCAGGCTGCAGGAAACATGGACGCTTTTCAAAAATCTAAACTAGTATCTGTGTGTGCAAACATGAAGGAAGGAAGAAAATAGGAAATAAGGTTTGGAAGGAAGGAAAAGCAAATTAATGAGAAAGAAAAGGACAAGAGAAAAAGCAGAGGAGGAAAAATGAAAAAAGAATACAAGGAATTAAGGAAGACATAAGAAAAGGAAAAATGGGGCCAAAAGGATAAATAAGGCTATTATCTATGAAAGATGGAAGGACAAGGAAGAAACATCAGGCTGGACTTAGAAAAGAAAGACATGGTAGAACAGAAAAGAGGGAAAAAGACAACTAGGGCAGAAAAGATGAGAAAGGAAGAAAAGAAGGGTAGAAATTAAGGACAGACGTAAGGAGAGATGGTAGGAACGAGGACAAGGAAGGAAGGAGAGGGAACAAAGTGAAAAATGGATTCAAAGTTAGAAAGGAGGAAAAACCCGAAGCAAAGTGGGACAGGAAAGAAGGACTTAGAAAGGAAAAAGAAGCTGTGGGTTCTGTCTGGTCCGATTAAAAGCTTCTCACCAGTGGAAGTGGATGGCGCAGACAGGAAGACAGCAGCCGAACATGTCCACCACCTTCATGGGCAGGTCCAGACCGCTGGACGACTTGTGGAGGCAGACGCCCAGATCTGCTGAACCTGGAGGATGAAAAGACACGAACGACGACAACGGACGAAAATACATGATGAGGGACGGCACTTTTTTACCAAAAGTAATTTTTGGTAATAAAAAAAAGATGTCTTTGGCAAAGAAAAATCACTTTTGGTGGAAAATGACTTGGGTCGTTATCTTAGGATAATCAAACAAGAGGTGGGGCTTTCTCTATGGAACAGATCCTCAAATAAATAAAACTTGGTAAATAAAAATATTTATTTATGTGATGGACCAGTTTTTGACTCCAGTTTTTCCTACCCAGCAGCAGCGGGTAATCCTCGGCCTCCAGCCACGGTGTGCAGATCTTCACGCACTCCAAACGCAGCGAGGCGATCAGCTTCTTGTAGTGTTCCTTCTGAGGACCTTTTCCTGCACAAATGCACCGTCAGATCCGTCACCAGAGTTTCAAACTAACTTACATTTAATGAAATGTAGCTGAATTAGTTTGAAGTTTCTGCATTTTCTTGCATCTGGATCTAAAATGGTTTCACCTGTGATGACGCAGACTAGCGACGGCAGCGGCGCTCCTCCTCTGATGAAGCCTTCGTACTCTGAAACAAACCGACCTGGTTCAGGTACATCAGAATAAACCCGTTTCGGGTCGGCTCGTTTCAGAAACCAATCCTGTACCTTGCAGAGAATCCAGCAGGATGGAGAAATCTTCGTCCTCTGCAGAGAGAAAACGTCACCATTCAGGAAGGCTTCAGGCTAAACATGAAAGGTCACTGGGAGGTCATTCACCCGTCCAGCTGGTGCTGCTGATCAGCAGAGCCGGCCGGTCCGATCTCAGGGTCACGCCGCCGTCGCCTGGGTTACGGACGGTGAACGCAGTCGCCTCCGTCTCCTCAGAGTCGGACCTGAAAACGGATCAGATTATTAAAACACTAAATATTTAACGGGATAAACAGATAAACACCTGAGGCAGAGCAGGAACGAATTAATGAATGAACGAATGAATGAATGAATGAATGAACGGATGGATGGATGGATGATTAATTGTTTGGATGCTCAGTTTCTAAGAACAAAACTGAATGTTGAGACAAATGGATGGATGAATAATGAATGAACTGATGAATGAACTCTTCTCCTGTCATTTTCTCCATCCCATAATAATAATAGTGATGATAATGATGATGATCTCCAGCGCTCACCCTGAGGCTCTGAACTGCGGCTGAGTGTCGGCCATCTTGAGGAAGAGCTGGTGCTGCAGATCCAGAGGAGTCTCTCTGAAGATGGAGGCCGGCCGGTCGTACAGAGTGGTTGCCCTGGAAACCACAACACTTCATCCGTCTGTTTTAACACACGCGGCCAAACGGCTTAAAAATTAAAACTCAGATTTATCATAACAGCCGATTTTAATTATTCGTTTTCTCACTTTTTTTTCTAAAAAAATAAATGACAGAATATTAGTGAAAATCTGCAGGAATTTCTGTTTACGCACAAGAATTTAGTCATAATATTAGCAGAATAAAAACTCAATTTCACCAGAAAAATCTCGTAAGACTGAGGGAAAAAAAAGTTGTTTTAATGAGTAAAAGATAGTTTAATTCGTATTGAGTCCTTATACAATTATTACTTTATCCTCCAAATATCACACATTTATTTTTGTAATAAGACTTTTCTATTATACTTTTTCATCTTCTGGAGTTACTGACCGTTTTCATTATGATTTTATTCTTGTAAAATAATTGTTTTAAAATTTAGAAACGCAGCCTGACCCTTACGTTTCGTCATAGAGTTACCTGAATTCAAAGTCCAAATAAATAGACGCTACAAAACATGTTTGTCAAACAAGATGGCTGCCTTGGTGGAAGAAAAACAGAACAGAACAGACTTTCAGAAAATTAGAAATTCAAAAAAATGTGATTAATCAATACAGCTGATTGATCGGCCAGCCCCCGGTTATTTAATAGGAACAACTTATAAACTACATTTCATATTTAACTCTGTATTTGAGTTAAACATCTGGTAAATCATTAAAATGTTTATTTAGACGAGAGATTAAATGGCTTCTTTCTGTAACATTTCAGTTTTTAACAGTAAAGTGTTTGTAAGCTAATTATTTTTTCTTGGTTATGTAAGCTCACGTTTTCCTGTTCTCCAACTGATCATTTGTTTTCTTAGTTTTTAAAACCTGTTTGAAATAAATGAATAACATTTCAGTTTTAAAGGTGCAGATATGAAACGGATCAGAGGAAGATGAAGGTGTGACACCAGGATCTGAATCAGTCTTACTCGACGCCCCAGTTTTTCTGCAAGTCGTCCTTCATGGCGTTCGTCACACACAGGCTGTGGGAGGCCAGAGGGCCGAACAGGTGTTCATACCTGAAGAATAAAAACAAAACTTTAAACAGAAGAGACTGGACAAACATTATTCCAATGTTTTCTCATCTACGTTTCAGCATTTCAGGCTGCAGATATAACCGATTCTGAGTTGTTTTCAGTCTTTATTTTGTTTTGTTCTTCTTTTCTGCACTGGAGCTGCATTAAAATCCAGACTGCATTCTCTACCCGAGAGCCTGGATGTAACCTCTGGTAGGTAAAAACACTTCATGCTTCATGCATTATCACTCTGCATGCTGTCAGTTTATTAGGTGGAAAGACGCGTGGTTTAAGTCTCACTGCAAAAATACAAAAGATGTTTTTGTCCAGTTTTTAATGCATATATCTAAATACATTTAAAATAAGATAAAACTAACTTACAAATAACTCTTCAGAAAGATATATGAGATTAATTTAAGTAAACAGTTCCTTAATATTAATAAAAAGTAGCAGAATATTTCATTTATAACATGGGAAAATAATTAAAGTGAAATAATCTGCCACCAGGGGGCGTGACTGACTTTGTCTTTCCTCTGCCTACATCTCCCAGAATGCTGTGCGATTCTGGATGGAGTTCAATGAATATTCTATATACTGAATATGCAGTCAGATGCATAATTTACTGATATTGATCCCATGTCTATGACGACTGATTGTTATTGATTGATTGTCCAGCCCTGTTTGTAGATAAGCAGAGTTTCAGCTGAAGCTGAGGCGCTGACCGCTTGGCGAGTCGGACCAGAGGATGCGACGCTCCGAGGCTCAGAGCCATGATGGTGTAGCCATAGTTGTGCCAGTCAATGATGAAGGTGCTGCCGCGCAGAACGCACACGAGCCACGCCACCGCAATCCCAGGCAGCCCAGGAGGATTCTGGGAAAAATAAAACTTTGTTTGTAAATCTGCAGCACATTTAGAGCCAATCGTCCTCATCCTCCTCCTTTTTTTCCTCCTCCTCTGATGGTGATGAGGACGAGCTGACCTGCATCAGGATGTGAGCCTGCAGCTCCAGGGACAGCAGAACGTGAAGCAGCTGCACCGACTGGACCACCGTCTTCGTCACGTACGTCAGGAGTTTTGGTCCAGCTGGAAAAGCAGCAGCCAGTTTTTATTTCTGAACTTTTGCTGCAGGAAAACAAACACAGCTCTGTTTACCTCGAAGACCTTTAACCTCTGAGATGCCGACTATCCGGATCTTCTCCTCCTTCAGCACGTCCTGATGGGGCTTTGAATCTGAAAAACATCCAGTTTCATTCTTAAACTGGTTTTAATAGTTTTATTAACTTCTTCTCAGATGTTTTGCATTATGAGCAAAGAAAAAATTCACCATTAAAGGGATTAAAGATTACTTCTGCTTCACAAATACTACAAAACAAACTGTGGTAAAAGTTCAACAGCTGCTGTAAGGGAAATATTCTGCAAATTGACAAAAGATTCTGTTTCAAATTTCATACAAGAACTGAGATTTGCCAATAAGCAAAGGCTGAGCTGAAAGATGACGAATACTCAAACCCCTCGCTGTTTCGATCATCAGAAATGGATCCAATGTATCGTTATAAACACTGACACTGAAAAAAACTGTTGATATTAGCATTGTTAGCGGCATCCAAATGAGATATACGTGTATAAATATCGTTTTGGTTGCAGCAGCAATGCTATAGATAATGATATCAATATTAGCCCAAACTGTCATATCGGTACATCCTATAATTTCATTAATTTAAGATCGTTTTTTATTTCATAGTGGAAAGAACATGATATATAGTAGTAAAATAACATATAGTAGCATAAATTGTTGCAAAAATTATTGTGGTAAATGACAATATTTTTTGAGACCATTTTCAAGTAATAAATGCATAATACTGCAAATTCACCCACTCAAAAACCAATAATAGTTTTGTACAGGAAGATATTTTCAATATCCAACACAAAACACAACCAAATATATATATATATATAAATATATAAAAATTAAAACCAACAATAAACCTCAAAGGCCATCGTATTATTTAATATCGTGAACTCTATTTACTAGTTAGTTGATATCTGAAGGAATTACTGGATTTTGTTTAGAAGAATCACCACACTTTCCAGATTTTTTATTTATAAGCAAGTTGAATAAATACAGTTAGTTATTTAATGTAACAAAAGCGGATGTATATAGTATGAATTGTTTTCCGACAGTTTTTCGCATCTTTGCAGATTTTAGACTTTTCAAAACATCTCGGTCATTTAAGTTTCCCAAATATTAACTCACTGTAAACTTTCTCTATCTTTATCCGTCTCATTCAGCAGATAAGATGTTTGTAATTCTAACAGGTGACAGTTTGTATTCTCACCTAAAAACCCGACAAAAGTGACCTGGTACCCGTGTTTGCTGAGGGACAGAGCGTGATACTGCATCCGAGGACTGCGTCCGATGTCCCCCAGCACCAGGACGCAGACCCGCCGGTCCGAACCGGCGTCCCGCTGCCGCAGCCTCCGCCAACACATCGACAGGATCCCGGCTGCCACAGCCAGGCAGACACCCGGACCGGTTACGCCGGAGTCCGCCACAAAACACGAGACAAAGACCGCAAAAACGACAGAAAACACGGAAAGTAGCGCCACGGTGGAACCGTACGGCACCATGTTTGTTTGAGAATCAGGAAGTGTGTGAAGGGGGCGGGGCTTGAGATTTAAAGAGACCGCGCCAATCAGAAATACCAAAATAAAAGCCTTAAAACAAGTATATATTTGCTTTATTTGTTTCCTGGATAACAGAATGTTTTAAAAACATTGTTATCTTTTTTAGTATTTTTTATGCCGTTATATTAGTAAAACATTGAACTTCATTTTTTAATATCATTGGCAACTAAAAGTTAGTTTTTCTGAATGACTAAATATGTAACCTTTATTTTTGACAGAGTAGTGGTGGTTGTAACTTCTACTACTTTTGTTGTTTACTTATATCAGAAGCTGATTTTAGTGCGTTAAAGATGACCTAATTATTTAACTTCTGGTATTTATAAAAAAGGCCACAAACATATTTATCTGAAATTATGTTCATCAGCTCATAAGTCATTCACGTTGCATATGATTATCAAAACAAAGTAAAATGCTTTCTTCAAGGCCAACTGACCTGTATGGACTTTATTAGACTCTGATTAACTTCAGTGCTTTAATGTAAGACAAGATTGAACAGTTTTTTGTCACATAAGTTATGAATAAATACAACATTTCTATTTGAAAGTTCGTATATACTCGGATAATTTTTGATATCAGATGAGTTGCTCATCTCAAATCAAATTGATGAATCAATCAAAAAACTACAACGCCTACAAAACCTTCAGGCAGAAGAGGTCACGTGTTTCCGGTGGTTATTTGTCCGCCTCACCCCGCTCCCCCTAATCCCGGAGGAAACTGGGACACTGCATCCACATGTAAATTAATAGTTTAATTATTTCCTAAATTTAATGTTGACATTTCTGGTAATATCTTCATTGTCATTTTGGTATTACATTTGTCTCTTTTGTGTGTCTTTTAAGTGTAAAGCAGCAGCAGAAAAAAATAAAGTTTATCTTTAATTATGAGTTGGGGAAGTTGAATATTAATATTTTGACCATATGTGAAGGCCCGGCTGACGTCACCGCTGACCCACCCCCTGTTATAGGACACCAGACCATCTGTCCTCCTGGTTATTGTCTCACCGTCTGTCCCGGAGCCTGCAGGAGGAACATGCGGACTGCGGCGCACCGACCGCCCGCGGCGCTGGTTCTGTTCGGCGCAGCGCTGTGCGCCAGTCGGGCCGAGGTGATCGATGATTTGCTGGGCAGCCTCTCCCGCGGGGTGTCCTTCCTGGAGCGGCAGCATGAGCACATCAACCTGGACGGGGCGGTGGGCTTCGTCATGCTGCAGGGTAGGTCTGCAGGAGCGCAGCTGGAAAACAGGCGCAGCTGCTGTTTACTGGATAAACCTGCAGCTTCAGGGAGAAAATATGCATAAAAATACAGTTATGCATGTTTTAACCTTTAGACTATTAAAATATTATTTCATGACGCAGAAATAATATTTCTAATCTTTTAACAAAAAAATTACAAAAACGATAATTGTTTTTGTCTTTTGTGTATATTTGTTTTTGTCAGCATTTGTTTAAAATCTTTAGGTTTATTTTAATCCCTGCAGATACAAAATCCTTAAATCTGCACAAGAACCACCTAAAATCAGAATTCTAATTAAATATTTCAATTATCTTTTTCGGATTTTTCTTGTAAAGCAGTAAACACAACAAATGAGAAAACAATTACAACATGTTATTCTATTATTTGAATAATTATTTGAATAATTCAGTAAGTAATTCATTTAATATCTCCAGTTGTAGCCATATTACTTTCACCTTGAAGGTTTTAAGCCATAAGAAAATACATTTATTTACAAAGTAACTATATAGGGTGAGCTGGACAGGCCAAAAGCACCTCATGGATCAAATTACGAAATTAATTAATTAATAAATAAAAATAAATATCTCCACCTAGTGGTATGACTCTGTAATGTGACATATTTTTCATATCTAAGTAATAATTGGTCCCTTGCAGATTTCTTCTGTTTTTCTATCTTATTTTTTATTTTATTTGTCAGACTGAAATATTTGAGGTTTTTCAATATCATCCCAAGATCACCTGAGTAAACCAAATTAATATTATATTATTAAAGGACTGGTCATAAAAGCTCTCTGACCATCCCAGAGTTTTCCGTCTAACAACATCTCCCTGTGAAAGCTGGGATTAATTCCTGTGGATTTATTCTGTTTGTTCCAGCCGAGCTGAAGGAAGCGGTCCGGACCTGGCCACACACAGACCCGGTCAGCTGGGCTCAGAGGACCACCGCCGTCGCTCTGCTCAGCCGCCTCGATCAAAGCCTGGACAAGGCTGTCGCCGCTCTGAGGCTCAACGACCCCAAATACTACAGAGGTCAGGAAGACAATCATAAAATAAATTTAACTTTCCTATAATTCTTTCTCTTTTCAGTTAATCAGAGTAAGAATGTTTAATCAGTAATCAATCACTTCCTATTTCCCTGGGGTGTGAATATGATGCGACACAAGCCCATTTCTATTAGAGAACATTTCATCCAATAAGTTAGATGTGTGTTGTAGAAATTTTCCTTTAGCAAAGAGTGAGGGAAAACTGTTTCAAGAACCAGAGAAAGAATATATTCTTAATCAGTATTGAAGTCTCTGCTTACTGATCACAGTGAGGAGAAAGAGCCTGGAGCTGAAGATTTATAGGGAGAGTTTCATTCATTCACATAGTTTGATGATCTACTTGGTTACAGAACAGACAGCAGCACATGTCTTCTTTCACTTGGAGCCATGAGAGATAAAGAAACAACCCAATGACTGCATGGTAATGCTAAGGCCAGAGAAACTGAACTCCTTCAGAAGTCTTCTTCATGAGCTCATGCGTCACACAAGAATCATAATACTGCTGTGCATAGATTCAGCTAATTATCATAGAAACCTTAAAATTTTCCCACTACATGTGTAAAAACACTTCCCTGTCCTACTATCTCAAACGCTTGGGTTGCTAGGTGATGGGCGGAATTCTGCTGGGGTTGCTAGGTAACAGACTGAGCTTTTGCTGGGGTTGCTAGGTAACAGGCAGCACCTGCTGATTTATGACGTTTCATTCTGAAGGTTTTTGAAACGGCTCATTTTCCAGACACCAAAAATTATTAATTTATTCCCAAAAACTGGCTGAGTGTTTTTTAAGTGTTTGATCTGTTTTTCAGAAGCAGTAGAAAAATAATATACTCTTTAACCAGGTTGATATTTGAAAACAAACTAATAAAAACGTTTTGCCACCAAGTAAAACCAATCTAAGACATTATTCTGAAAAGAGTTGGCTGTCGCTCACACAAGCTCACATCGTTTGTCTGCAGAGTTTGAGCCGCTGCTGACTTGGACGTTTTGGATGATTCCTCAGGAGTGGCGCTCCACGGATCCCAGCCTGGTTTATCCCTCAACTTTGACCTCTGAGTGTTACGACGAGCAGCTGAGCGATAAGTGCCTGACGCTGCTGCTGGGGACCTGGTACGACCAAAATGCTTTAGATGCGTTGGAAGGTTTTGTAATCTGGGAGATACATGTTAATATGTAGTTTGGAGTCAGTCTGTTTGTGTGTTTGTGGTTGAGCAGGAAGATGAACGGGACGCCCTGCATCGTCACCAAGCCCTGCCGGGACACCATGACCCGGTTCGGCTGCCCACATTACTCCCTGTCCCACCAGCTCCTCTACTTTATGATTGGCCGAATGGTAAAACCATCTACAGTCTTTCACAAAACTATAAATTTAAGTCTGATTGGTCTCTGATAGAAGTGTGTACACAGTGAATACCAGTAGACCAACACCAGAGCCCTGAGGGACTCCACTTCCATCTCAAACCGTCTTCATTGTTGTAACTGGTTTGTGTTTTCATCACAGAGAGGTTGCAACAACTTGTTGAAAGGTGACACCCGAGCGTCCCGACAAAACATGACTGAACAAAACTACCAAGACATTTTCTGCTCCAACATGATGAAGGCTAACCAGGACATCGTCGCTAACGGTTTAACCGAACAATCGGTCGACATCTTCATTGAAAACAGTGAGTATCAAGAAACATTTTGTCCAATTATGATTATATTTTCTATTTCCTCTTTTAAACTGGCTACTTCATCAACCCTACGCTGCCTCCACACATCCACAGTCTGGTGCATTTGTTTAATATTATAGTGCTTAGTCGTCTAATTTGAAGTTTGTTGCACAAAATACTTTGAAGAAAGAACAAATTAAAGCTTTGCTCCTCTTCTATTCTGTTGACAGTCCTGATTTGTGGATTAGCTGGTTTTTCCGACTTCCAGAAAACCGACTGGCTGCAGCACATCCTCAGGCTGCAAGACGACGAAGTCGGCTGTTTTGGGAGGGACAGTGAGTATCTGCTGCTACGTCCTGGCATAAGAACAGCTGGTTACATTTTCACAATAACAACAAATCAATTAAACATGATAAACATGATAAACTAAAACCAGCTCAATCATTTCCATTTGATGATTTATCGTTTCTCTCTTTCTACCAAAACCTGGATCGTAAAAGTCTTCAGTTTGGTGCTTTGGTCTCAACAAGCCTTTTTTTGAAGGACAGTTTTGTTTGCAGAGACTTCATAATTCATTATATTTTTTGTTGTTTCTGTTGTTTTGTTTATTTATTTGGTATATTTAAAATGTCTTCCAGTTCCAGTGTAAATGTCAAATAAAATAAATCTTGTTCTCATATCTGTTTAAGGAGAGAAATATATATATCCTCTGCATTGTCTGGTTTCGTTTGTGCAGCTTAAACAGAAACTCATTAAGTATAATCTGCATAGCATTTGATTACAGTAACAGTTACTTTGTAACCAAGTTTAAAAATATCACTTAAAACAAATGTGATATCTTGTTTTGCTTTTATAATAGTTTCTCAGATTCGGTTCAGAACCGCCTTTCTGTATAAAAAAGCTGCTTTTATTAATTTTTAATTAGTTTAATTATAGTTTAATTTTACCCTTCATCGTCTGTCAGCATGTTAAGAAGTCTCTGAGAGTGGTTTCCATGTTTGTTTCCCCAGAAAGCTTCATCTCGCAGATTATTGGAGATGAGCTGCTGGAGCAGCTGCAGCCTCACCGGAGAGTAAAACGGAGGGAGAAGATACTTCCAGGTCAGTTTGTTTGATTCTCTGATAAAAATCAAGTGCAGAGCAGAATCAAATAGCAGATTATCAGCATTTACACCCAAATATTCTTCACTCCAGTTATTTTACAACTTATGTTTTAACTTCAATCATTTATTAAAGAGATTATGGTCATGGAAATAAGAGAAAACGTTTTTTTTCTTCATGCTAACATGTTGTTTAGGCGATGGACGACGAGCCGCTTCTTTTGGTTCACTGGGGGTTAATTTGTGCTTCCAAATGATCTGATTGGTCGCTGGAAAAGCTGTGTTCAGGTTGTGCTAGGAGTTAGCATATCAGCGAAGAGAAAATAACATCTCAGCTGCTACATGCTAAACATTTCATGCTAACCATGTAGCAGCTGACGCTAATGTCAGTGTCCACAGTTCACATTTCTAAAGAAGCTCCATGAATGATCAGGGCTTCCTGAAATTCTGGAAATCTATTTTTTAATCAATCACTAATATAAAACACAAGTTAAAATAATTTATTCAAATGTTATTTGCATTCTGATTGGCTGCCAGTCAATTTCCTCAGGCTGCTTTGCTCGTGAAGCTAGCATAGCATAATCAACTAAATTCAGAAGATATGAGGCAGCATTTGTGCTAAATGATTATGAAAGTATTAATTATTGAGTAGAGAATAAAAGTAAGAAAAACATTAAAGAAGTTGTAGAAGTTTACTTACATATTTAGTAGGAGGTTTGCAAAGAGAGTCCCTGCCCAGAAGCTGATGCTGTTTGGGGGGTTTAGCATGGTAAAGTTTGGGAACCTCTGACCAAAGGAGATTAAAAACAACAAATATTTTCATGTTTGAGCTCATATGTCTATTTATTCAATAATTTAGCAGCAGAAAAAGTTTTTGAATTGAAAATATTGCCTGTTTTGTCGATTAAATTAGCTAAAATGTGATTCAAAAAGTACATAGGTCATTAGTGTCCCTTCACTAATTGAGCTCCGATAAAAGCCGGATGTGTTGATGAATTATCCTGGTGTTGTGATGTGGTTCATGTTTCCAGACGGCTGCTCCAGTCACATGACAGCGGTGGCGGTGGGCGCTCTGGGAGGATACCTGAACTTTCACCTGACAGAGCAGGACATAACGAAGAGGCCGCTGTCCTGAACAGACTGTCCACAACACCTGCTGTATCAACACATTTGTTGATGTTATAAAAAATGCTGGAAGTTTGTGTTTTTATCCACTTTGTAAATCTGGATTAAGTTCAGCTAATGTAAAAGCACACACACACACACACGCACACACACACACACGCACACACGCACACACACACACACGCACACTTCTTTACTGTAAGTATGAAAACTATTCGCATCTGTGACAGATTTAAGTTCATATGACAATTAATCCTGATTGTTACTAAATTTCTGCATGAACTCGTCCCTGATGCCAAGTTTGACCCATTTTATTCATGTTGCTTTGAATTATTGCTAACCAGAAGTTTTCTGACTCCAGAAAACATTTTCTCTTTTTACAGACAGAAAATGTTGTTAAATGTTGTGTTTTATGGCGCTAAGCAGAAAAGATCTGCAGGAATTTTCTCCAACGTGAAATTAATATCAATTAAAAACCTCCAGGCATCTGTATTTGAAAAGCTTATTTTATTTATTTTATTATCATAAATATCTGTTTATCCTTGATAAATTATAGTTTTACATTTATTTGTCTGAGTATAAAGATAGAAAGCAGTTCAGGAAACTGAAGCTGACAGAGCAGAGGTTGTCGCTGTTTGCAGCGAGGAGAGCTGGAGTTTCATTTGTTCCAGCCGGTGACCTCGTAGAACAGCGCCTTGAGCTGCCGCGCCTCGTACGTCACCGTGTTTTTCCCGATGTGGACGTGGCTCTCCTCCAGCGGCTGCTCGATGATGGCCGGCACCCCCTTTCCGTAAACTGTAGGGAGACGGGGAGGAAACGGGGAGGAAACGGGGAGGAAACAGGGAGGAAACGGGGGAGGAAACGGGGAGGAAACGGGGAGGAAACGGGGAGGAAACGGGGAGGAAACAGGGAGGAAACGGGGAGGAAACAGGGAGGAAACGGGGAGGAAACGGGGGAGGAAACAGGGAGGAAACGGGGGAGGAAACAGGGAGGAAACAGGGAGGAAACAGGGAGGAAACGGGGGAGGAAACAGGGAGGAAACAGGGAGGAAACAGTTACGAATCGGTACTTGTTTATGAACCTAAATGGTTCTATGGAAGCAGGGCAGCTGCAGACCATCACAGTGCCAACACCGTGCGCTACTGGAGATATAATAATCTGTTTCTGAAACGTTTTTTCAAAAAAAAAAAAGTTCACTTTTGTCTCATCTGTCTTGGGGATTATCAAGATGTTTTTGGTAAAGTTTAGACGAGTTTCATGTTCTTTTGGTCAGCTGTGGTTCTGGTCTTGAAACTCTCCCATGGAGGCCATTTTTAACATGACCTTTGACCTTTCATTCACACCAGTCCTGTTTAGTTTGCTTTAAACCAACTCCAGTCCGTTTGTTCAGAAATCCGGTTCATTTAGGGAGGCGTGAATGCAAACCAAACAAAAAAGTAAACTCTGATCCTAAAAAACTCAGTCTGAGAACATCACAGTGTGTATCTCTCAGTGTGTAGTTCTAGGTGTGTATCTCTCAGTGTGTATCTCTCAGTGTGTAGTTCTAGGTGTGTATCTGTTGTTGTGTAACCGCGGCTCACCCTCGCAGTGCTCCAGGAACTGAATGCACTCCTTAACCACGGCGTCCCGCAGCATGACCATGTGTTTGGACATGTTCTCCAGCAGCGAGAGGAAACAACGCTTGGCGTAGAACCATGTGTCCGCCCCGAGCTAAACACACACACACACACACCCACACACACACACACACCCACACACACACACACACACACACACACACACACACACACACAAGCACACAAGCAGAAATTAACTCATTGTTACAAACATTTTGTAATTAAACCCTTTAAAAACAAGCCTCTGTCTGAAGTGAAGCCAGTTTTCCAGCTTGACTTCACATTCCTGAGTTGATCGTTGTGTTTCCAGCTGCAGCTTAGCGGACTCAGCTGCAAACAGAGTCTGGACCGGATCAAAGATCCCAACCAGAACCGCTGAGTCCTGCAGAGCCACTCACTTAAGCTGGAAAACAACCGGACCTCCAGAAGTTTGTATTGTATTTAGAGGCAGAGCAGGAATCGGATCAACCTCTAAACACACAGTTACATTTGAAAATATTTTAGAAGTTGACAGATTTTTAATAATTTCTTGGCTTCTGAGGCTGAATATTCATAACCAAAGCTGAAGAAAAATATAATAATAAATATTTAAGGCAAAAATTCTGCCCATTTATTTGCTACTTTAATTGTTCAGTGAATTATTTGCATCTAATTTCAATATTCCCTTCAGAAAATATGATTGTCATCAACAAAGAAAAATACCTGAAAAAAGTGAAGAAAAAGCAAATTTTAAGCAAATAGTAATTTTTGATTTGAGGTTTCTGTCGCATGTTTATGTAGCCTGGTTGGAAGAAAATTTCTGTTACCGTTGGAAACAGCGGATAAAGTTTGCGTTTCTGTCCACTTTGCACATGATGAGTCCCACTTTTCTGTGGAAGCACCAGTGAAGCACATTTTTTAGTTTCTCCACTTTAATCTTATTTGTCCTGATTTTGTTTCCTTTGAACTTCAAAACTGAGCTGCAAACGATGATGAGGAGAAACTAGCCAACTGTGTAAATGTTGGGAGAACCCAGCACTGCCTTAGCCGTGCTGTGGATGTTCTTCTTTGATGTAGGTTTAATGTTGGTAATCTTGGCGCTACCGCCCCCTGTTGGCTGAGTTCATCAGGTAACGACAGAATAAAATGAACCTTCTTGTTGTACGGCTCCAGGCTCTTTATGACTCGAGAGATGCCGAAGTCGTAGTTCCCTTTGGCGCAGTACAACGTCCTGAAAAACGGTTCGGAAAACAAGTTTAAAATTCAGCAGAAATGACCAGCAGTCTTACGCTGGGTGTTCACTAATCTTTTAAATTATCCCCAATAACTCATAACATTATTCCTGCTACGTCATAAAGTCCCGCCACACTGACCCGATGACCAAGTTGACGATGCAGAGGTGGAAAACCTTTTTGTCTGGATTATTGTAGGAAATCTGCTCCTCCTCTTTCTCAATCTTCCTCATCAGCTCTTCAGCCTGGAAAACAACGATAAAATGGAAAAACTGAGCCGATCAATGCATTAGCAAGAAAAACTTTAATGTCATGGCTTCTCGCCACGCTGGTCATTTTACTGCACCATCGATTAATGATTATTAATTATTATTGACGTTCAGCTGTCAGCAATTCACTGTGATTGGCCCTTTGTATAAACTTATTTTTATCTGCAGAAACAAGCAGACAGAGCATAGCCTGCTGCTGGCAGAGCGCTGTCCTTTTCACAGAGAATATCTCTGCTTCCTGTCCATCTTTAATCCTGGTGACCTTTAACCTGAAAAAAATATAAATATGAAGGAGAAGATTGTCACCTCTTCGTTCTGGCTGGTCATGATGTAGGAGACACACAGGTTGGCCAGAACCACGGCGCTCACGTCCAGGATCTACAGCAGTGCACACACACACACACACACACACACACACACACACACACACACACACACACACACACACACACACACACACACACACACACACACACACAAAATTCATCAGCGGCAGCTTGTTTGGAACCAACAAAATGAAGGAAAACTGTTAAAGGACTCAGTTAACTAACTAATTATTTACTTTGGAGCTAAGTATTTAGTTAGCTATCAAAAAATTGAGCTAGCTGGCTAAATATTTAGCTAGACAAATAATTAGCTAGCTAACCAAGTATTTAGTTTGGAGCTAAGTATTTACTAAATTAAATGCTTATTTACTTTAGTAAATACTTATTTAGTAAATATTTAGTAAGAACTTATTTTACCCACTAAACTTTTGGTGGATGAAATAATTATCTGGCTCCAAGCTAAATATTTTGTTTTCTAACTAACTAGGTAGTTTAAAATGGGACATTTATAAATTTTGACTTTTGAAAAGTCTAATTTTTTCCTGTTATTGGAGGATAAACAACCCAAATTATTGCTGTTAATTTCTGATTGTGTAACTTTCCAAACCCTCTGGACCTGCATGCCTGAACACGACTGGAAGGTAAACGGCTTAAAATCAGATGAAAAATCTGAATTTGTGTCTAATTAGTTGTCTCCTGGTGCAGCGCATCTGAAACTGGACCCCAGAAGCAGAAGAACCCACAGCAAGCAAAGACGTCACGCTGAGAGGAGGAAACACTGCAGAGGAGTGGTTTGGTTTGCAGGGACACTCCTGCATGCTGCAGTGCTCCACCTGGACAGAAAGGCAGGCCGTCATCGCCCCCCAGCGCTACCGGCCGCCCCTTCTACCACCCGTTGCCATGGTAACTCACTGAGTCGTAGAGCGTCTTGACGATGGGCTCGTAGAAGCTGATGGCCTCCTTGTACTTGTTCTGCATGAAGAGGACGTGAGCCACGTTCAGCTTCCAGGTGTCGTCGTCGTTGCAGAACTCCACCGACTTTCGGAAAATCTTCTCCACCATCTGGAAGTTCTCGCGGTTCCAGTAGATCTTCGCCTGCGCCATCAGAACCACGACGTACCTGAGAGTACAACCAAAATAATTCACAACGTTTCACTGAAACAGCAGAAAACAGATTAACTGATTTTCATCAGTTAAACATGAGCTGCTGTGTTGATGTTACACTTTAAAATGTGTGATTATAGTTATTACACTGCAAAAACTAAATATTACAGGTAATTTTGGTCCAGTTTCTAGTGCAAATATCTCAGTACACTTGAAATAAGACTAAACTAACTTATAAGTAACTTTTCAGCAAGATATCCAAGCTTGATTTAATGTAAAAATTATTTAATGTTGATGAAAAAGTTAGTTGTTCTATTGGCAGATTATTTCACTTATAACATGGAAAAATGTTTCGTACTAAGTGAAATAATCTGCTAATGGAAATATCAAGGAATTACTAACTTAAAACAAGCTCCCATATCTTCCAGAAAAGTTACTTGTATTTCAGTTTTGATATATTTGCACTAAAACTGGACCAAAATTACTTGGTAATATTTTGTGTTTTTGCAGTGTATCTGGTAGTATATTGTGGTGTGTGTGTGTGTGTGTGTGTGTGTGTGTGTGTGTGCCTGTGTGTGCTCACTTCTCCTGCAGCAGGTCGTAGTCCTGCAGCGTTTTGCTCTGGACCTCGTCGTCTCTGGTGTGCCTGGTGTCCTGAACCTGAGCAAGGACCAAAT